GCATGGGCTGAGCGCACTGAGGGCAGAGCATCGACCGCTCCAGCAGCCCCACCTCCATGGCCCACGCGACTGCCTTGGACTCGTCGGTGGTCGCCTCCATGACGGCGCTGAAGTCAAAGTGGTGGAGCTGCTGGAGGTTGTAGTTGTGGGCCATGGCTGGCAGATTCCCGAATGAGAGTAAAACTGTAACTGAGAGTTGACTAATAAACGGAGTTGATAAATCTTTATTTTAGGAGTTTGTTCAAAGCCCCAGGTGTGACGTGCGCAATGCGCGCGAAAGCGGAGCTACCACGTACCCTTGGCGTGAACACAGAAGCAAATTGTATCTTTGTGCACTCCACATTAAATACTGACAACAAGTAAAAAAAAAATGTATTTCAGCAAGAAAACACTTTTTGTTTTGCGTTCTTGATAAAACGGAGCTGTACTTGGGGAGAGCCCAAGAAGGGAAACGGCTACACAAACCTGCTAAACCACCAGCGGCGCAACCACGAAGGCTACGAGCAAGAAGCCCTGGAAGCGTCACGCCACCAGAATCTGCTACGCCTACACCTAGTGAGCGTGAGAACAAGGGGCTGTATCGGTGGATCGAGTGGGTCGTGTGCGACCGCCTATCCTTCACCTTTGATGAGCGCCGGCTAACCCGACAGAACGCAGCTCTCTCACTAATGTGTGAAGACACTCTGGTCAGATACATCGTGTTCATCTTTGAGCTGCTCGAAAAACGTGTAGCCCGCGAGCTGTCACCTACATTTGGCCTAGTCATTGACGGCTGGACAAGAAGTAACCGTGACTAGGTCGCGATATTCGCGGTATTATACGGCGGTACTACCGGTAATACCGGCTTGAATATTGCAAACGAGTATTCCGATGATTTGGAGTGCCCGTCTTGTCGCTTTCTACTATTAGCACTCTCTCCTGTGGAAGTAAAAGTAGATCTCAGCGCGCAAAGTCAATACGACCTACACCCTGCACGCGACAACACACCCTGGAGCGCAGTCAAGTTTCTGGTGGGTAACAACTGTTCGGTCAACCAGTACATTGGTCGAAAGGAGGGCGCTATCCCTTCAACGGATGCGCTGGTCATCGATTTAATCTGGCGATGAAGGACTTCCTCAACACCGAAGACAAGCTTTTTACCAAGGCCCACACCCTGATGTCCAAGCTTCGAACGATCATTGGGAGGGCTCCGCTTTGCTGCGTCTTCGATCTGTCACCTCTGCCGAAGAACGACACATCAGGTGGTCATACAAATAAGAGATGGTGGCGCGATACCTGACGATCCAACTATTTATTATCCAGCTGGGCTACAACCTTCTGGAAGGGCACGAGGTTCAGCTTCTCTTACTGAGGCGTGCTGAGCACAAGTGAGTCATGTCGCAAACGAGCGACCTGGAGAAGTTTGAGGGCGTTATGAAGGAGCTACAAAAGTCTACTCTACTTTTGTCTGCCGTACGACGATTGTTTGACCAGGTTGTGAAGAAGTTTCCAGCACTCAAGACGCGACTGGCTTCAACGGCACCTATTGTCAGCAATCCCATCTTAGAACAAGGTATCTTCAAGATTCAGCGCAGAGAGGCGCTGACGAGTGCCGAAAGGTCGGCATGTGCCGAGTTTAGAGCGACTATTCTGGAAAGGGCGCCAGCCCGAGACAACAGTAACGACTCAATAGTTAAAGCGGCATTCAAGAAAACGATGGCACGAAGCGCTCGTACTTTGGGGAGGTGGCGTACATCCCACCGACATCGAACGAGTGCGAGCGATTTTTTTCGGGGGCGAAGTTACTGGTATGAGATCTGCGAAAGAGTCTCTCTCCTGCCAAACTTGAGATGCTGATGTTCCTGCAGTATAACCGCAAGCTGTGGGACGTGAACACAGTCGAGCAGGTGCGTGCACGAATTGGCACCAATTAATGGAATTATTGAATCAATAATTTCTGTCCTTCGACGTGATGTATTAATTTAAGTATTGGATTC